TAATCGTGTGCGTTAACACGGAAATTTTGACAGCACTGATAATTAATGAACACACTTGTTATCATCATGATTGCCAGAGATGGAGAATAGTCCTACTCCATTAAGTAAATCCTAAAAATGCTGGTACTCAAAAGTGCTTCCCTCCACGTTTTCTGCGACGCATCGTTTGTTTTTACCCCACATACACACCAGTTATGTGCACCCCTGCTTATGAACATCATTACGACACCATTAAATGCTCACCTCTGAAATGACATGAAGGGTCTGTGCTGGGAGGGTTTGTCTTTTGTACATCTGATGTTTTGTTTCATGCTTTATTAATCAAATGGCCATCAAGCACAGTGCTGCTGGTGAACCGAAAGAGATAAGAGTGTGATGAAGTGTGGCCGACCAGCCGTAAGTGCTCTGATGTGTCTTCTCTGCAGCATTGACCCCTCTGTGGTTAACATATCTGATGAGATGGCCAAAACTGCTGTGTGGAAAGCTGTTGCCATGAGCTCTGACAGTGCCAAAGTATTGAAACATAGTGCCAGGTAGCCATTCCTAACCTCTGACCTCATCCCTGTTCTCCAACACTTTCTCACACATCACAATATTCTGCTTCCTCTCATTGCTTCAATGCACAGCCTGTTTCCTTGTATAGATGTAAAAGCTGTAGACCTGTACATTTTAAACCGTAAAGGCCTGTTCGTCCATTTTTTCATTTGAATGTATATCATTACATTTGATTCGGTGCAAATACTTTGGTAATAATGGGTTTATAAATAATTTAAGCAATAATATATATTTTTTTGCTTCATTTGTAAAAAGAAAAACGTTTATATAGAAAAATATATATTTATGTATTTTATCAAAGTATATATTTATAAAAGTTATTAAGCCTTATTAGTTGTCAAGCCTTATTTTGATATTTTTTTATTTGATATTTCAGATTTTTAAATAAACAAAGAAACGTTATATTATATTTGTATTCAATTAATAATAATTTATTTCGACATATATACTCACTCACTCACTCACTCACTTTAGACTTTTATATGTTTCGATTAGACGCATTTGTTTTCATGTGACCAGGCCTTTATCTATTGTTTAAAAAGTATGCCTGTGAAGAGTTTTGTGTGCTGGATATGCTTTTGCACATATCTGATGTATGACATAATTTTTGTGCTTCATCTAATGTGATACTGTATGTTGCTAGTATGGTGGTGTGATAACATTTAGGAAAATTGTGCTAGGTGACTTTTATTGCAAATTTCCCCTTCATCTTTACTCTTTGTGTTACAGTGAAGAGAAGACGGCTAGCATTAAGATCGATGTGGAAGACGAGCAGGATAAATGTGAGGATGCAGAGACGTCGATATGAGAGAGCTCACTGTGGACCCTGCAGGGCCCTTCCCAGAATCCTCTAGTTTGTAACAGTGTTGCTCTGTTCTGTGAGCCCTACCAACCTGCCCAAGCCAAGCCAAAGTTAGACGTGCCCGATAGAGGGCTGAGAAATGAGTTCCAGGTATATTTATCTAAGTTTCTATTTTTAACCACACCAACAAGCCCTTTTTTATTTTGTACAATTTGTTTTTAATATGAATAAAGCACCAATTTTTTTTAGACATAGGGTATGTTATGAAGAACCCAGGCCTCTTAGGTTTCATATTTGATTTTGATTTTATTTTATTTTATTTTTCTCAAGATAGATATAAAGACAAAGTCTTTTAGAATTAGTTTTACACGCAGAAATCCTGTTTTTCATGGTACCACGGTTTTCAAGTCATCGCTTTAAGATGATTTTCTTTTCAGTACATTAAAATGCCGTTTGTTGCAGAGTGCTGCCTTTTAAAAGAAGCATAATTAATGCACATATGAGAAAATGTCTCATTGAGACCAAAGGTAGTGACATTCAGCTGCATGACTGACCTTCCAAACTGTTTTTGGAAGAAAAAAAAACGTGCTAAGCGAACACTTTAAAATGTCACATGAAGGACATAATCAACCTGAATGCAAAATAAATTATTATTATTGTACTTTAATTGTAAAAATGTCATTCCCAACGACGGTCTGACGGAATGCTTGATGATTTATGTACACATACTATATTAAAACGGAACAGTCGATAGCACAGAATGAGAATAAACTAAACAAACGATTACATTCATTCTTGCAGTCACTCTGAAAATGAATAGCCTGTCAGGACGATTAAAACTAGAGCGATGTAAATTGTTCTAGATTGTGTTATAGAGCTAAGCAATATAAGTTTTGCCCCCATTTTTTTCATGTTTACATAGTTTCTTTTTTAGTGTTATGAAATAGAATTTTGTATTGTTAGGACTTTTGATTTGTACAATGTGTTAATCAACTAATTTATTAACGGTCATTTAATGGTCAAGTATGCGGAGGCGACGGGGCAGAAGGATTGCTGCAGTGTTGTTGGCCTGTCATTTCTTTCCTCTTCTGTTAGCGCTGTTAATGTGCACTTTAGGTAGGCTTGCCATCACCACAACAACTTATTTCATCTAGAGCAGTCTCAGGAAACTTCTTTTTTGTACTCTTTCCCCACACTACTTCATCTACTCAGTGCTTCAAGATCACATGTCCTCCTTTTATGCTTTTTATTTGATGAAAAATGTCTTTGAATTTGAACACTGGACAAAAAAAGTGCAGCCTCTGCCCCCAACTCAATTTTTTTCCACGCTGAAAACATTTTTAAAAGCAACAGATATTGAAGACCCTTTTTTGCAATATTTATGATACTCCAACAGAGCAATTGCCATTTATTTGATGTTATGTATTCTTTCAAGTTGCTAAGTGTAGTTGATTTGAAATGAGTAGTTTACTTGCAGTAGTGAACTAGCTTACTGTCCTCATGCTTACACGGCACTTCATAAATCCCACAATGAAAATGAAATACCTCTGACTACTACATGTGAAGGCTCTCTATGATTTTTGTTTTGTTTTTTAATCAGTAGGTTGTACACTTTTACTCTTGCAGCAAGTTACTTGCTAAATTTGATCAGTTAATGTTGGAGTCTGTGGGTGGGAGTAATATTGAATACCTGGAAGATTGTTTTCTGTCATACACCATTAGTATCTTCCTGTATTAGCATCACAGTTGGACTCTGAACAAGTATTGCTGCCGTGGTGTTCTGAGCTTCTGTCTGCACAATGAACATGTACTATTTCAGAATTCTGCACGGTTCAGACAGATCCCGTGTGAACTGGCCAAATCAAGATTTAAGTAGGAGATACATTGCATTTGGACAATATACAAACAATGGGAGAGAGTTGTCTTTTGTAATGTTGAAGTTGTTTATTAAAGCAATAACGGTGTCTGTTGTCTTTTAATCTACCGTGTGTTCATCATTTTTCCGATATTTCCCTAAATAGTCTAAATGATACTCTTACATTATGTAACTTTTTAGATTAAATATAAAGTTATTCAAATGGGAGTGAAAAAAACTTTAATATTTCAAACTATCTATTTTATAATTTCATAAAACTATAATGATTTATGAGCTATTTCAGAGCTATCAGGACGGATGTCGCAGGAAATTGTATTCATACCTGTTTCGCCGGTTCGTTGGAGAAAAGTAGTTCCGGTGTTGTGCCGAATTTCGACCCCCGCCAAATTATTACCCCCCTAGCATTGGTAGGTTTAGGATTAGTTGTGGGGGAGGGGTTGGGATTAGGCAATAAGGTACTGACTTCAACGAGGGGGGTAATAATTTGGCAGGGGGTCGAAATTCGGGACAACACCGGCTCTGCACTGCAGGCATGAAGCCAAAAGTTTGTCACAACGAACGTGAAAAATGTTCCAAAACCCTCATGAATCTCCGGTTAATTATATATGTATAAACAAACACACACACACACACATATATAATGCTGTATGTATGTCCTGTATCCATGTTCACAGGTGCCTCGGCTCGAACCATTTTCATGTGTGCAGATTGGAGCAGAGCCGAAGCAAAACCCAAACAATAATCTTCCACAATAAACATGTAGTTTTATTTTCAGTTAAATACTGTAGCTTTAAATACCCCTTTTCATATAAGTTTAATAAAATGTAGGACTTTGTCAAATATATGTCTGCTCCTGATCGCAATTTACAAACAAAAATTTTTACAAACATGGCCTCACCATGTAAATAAACTGGCCACATTGTAATATTTACACAAACAACAAAGACCCAATGAAGGATTAAAATAACAAAACATTTAATTAGTGAAATACAAAATGTTTAGTACCTCACATTAAATTAAAAAAAAAAAAACACGAGAACATGAATTATTCACATGCACGTCAAATAAAATGTAAAGGACACTTGAATTACAAAAGAAAATATGCTACAAATTGATACCTTTAATAACTCCATGGCAGTGATTACAGTCCCTCAGCTTGATTTTAAAGTACTATTATTATCATTGACATCGGAAAAGACAACTGAGATAAAAAAAGAAAAGAAAACTGTTGCCATTTCCTAACAATTGCATTTCACTGGCAGACGGGAAAAGAGCACAACACTGGCAGAATTCTGAACACTGATAAACCTCAGTACAGAAAGAGAAAATGACACTGACATGATCCAAATGAAAAAACAGCTGAGCTTGACAACATTTTTAAACCATGAGATAAAATGACAATTTCAGCGGATAACTTCTCTAATACAAAACACTGACCGTGATTTTTACACACAAAACCTAAAAGTAACAAAAAGAGTAACAAGCATTTTATTTAGATGACAAATAAAACTGAGTTGGTAGACTTAAAAAAAATAAGATTATGGATTATCATAATCCTCCCTTAAACTATATATATTTTTTGTAAAATATATATGTAAATTTTAAAACTTTCCACAAAAAGGGTTTTACGAAACTTCACAGGTTTAAAATCCTAAAAGGAGTAAATAAAAAGTCAAATGATTTAGGTCAAGTGAAACAATATTCTGGACCATATGCAACCAGCAGCACGATGGATGGCAAAAACCACAGTCACCCAGACAAAATAAATACATTTCAACAAGCATGAGAGCAGAAGGTTAAAGGCAGATTCAATACTGATGGACTCTCGGCGGTGAATCACCTGATTCTCCACGGTTTAAACATTTCATACAGTTGATCAAAACAAAACGGACACCAAAGTGGCAGAAGCAGGTCTCAATAAAAACAGATCTGACTTTTACAAAAATAATCATTGCTGTGTATATACACACGTATCAAAGACACAAAACAGTAACGTTGAGGGAAATCTGCTGTTATCTCATATCTCTCACTGTTTTGGGAACTCGAAGGACTTTGTAAATGTTGTTGTGAAAGACGGTGGAGAAGTGAGGACGAGAATCCCTCGACATGAGAGTGCAAAGTGGCACTTTTCCTGCATTTTGGCTGTCCTCCACATCCCAGATCTCAGGCATGCTGCAGCCGGGTCTGGAGATGAAGAAAAAACTCGTGTGAGATACAAGAAATTATGGAAGCTTGATTCTGCCCGATATATTTAGGCTGAATATCGATATACGATATATATCCCAATATTTTTTCCGCAAAGTGAGAGCAAATGTTCAAAGCCAAATATGGACTTCACTGTATAAGTTATACATTGATTCTTATTAAAACTACTGTTAAAGTTCTCCATCAAGAGCAGTGAGTGATTTCCTCTGTTTTGTTGTTTTATTAACATTAAATGGATAGTTCTCCCAAAAATATTAATTGTCATCATTTACTCTCTCAAGTTGTTTTAAACCTGAATAAGTTTCTTTCCTCTGTTGAAGTTATTTGGAAGAATGTGGGTAACCAAACAGTTGATGTACCCCAGTGACTTATAGTATATTTTTTTCCTATGGGAGTCAATGGGGATCAGCAACTGTCTGGTTCCCCACATTCTTCAAAATATCTTATTTTGTGTTCAGCACAATAAATAAATTAATGTATGTTTGGAACAACATTACAGTGAGTAAATAATGACAGAATTATTTTTTTGGGGTGAACTATCCCTTTAAGGACAAGCGGCTGCATGTTTACTATTAGGACTACTGTCTCTTTAAGACACGCGCCAGGTCTAATACACACGCAGATTTCTCTCAATTTTCTCGGTTTGCTTTTAGTTTAGACATAACCAACTTTCTTTATGTAAACATTGTGTGTATTTGACAGTATTTGCGCAATAAGACTTGAAAGATGTGCATGTGCGTTTTTTATGTGCGTTTAGTGCATGTGCGCGTCGGGTGTATAGCGCTCAGAAAAGCAGATGTTAGAACAGCGTATCATCGAATGACATGTTTTACCGGCAAGGCTTTTAAAGCACATGCAAACAATGCACTTTTGTGACCTGCAGTCTCCCATTCCTCAGCGTTAACATTTGATTAAGTATTTATATAAGCGAGTATTTGTCGCATTGTACACTAGGCTGTTGAGACGGAAGCGCCAGAACTGATAGAATGAACAATACGACTTCTTCAAAAGCAGTCAGCAGCTGGAGCACGGCGCAAATTTGAACTATATCGATATATGCGATATGGTCTAATTCCATATCGCATTTAAAAATATATCGATATATCTTTTATATCGATATATCGCCCAGCCCTATTCTGCCATGAACAAAAAAAAAAAGGTAAAGATACATTTCCTCACAAATGCAAGTTTATATATCAAAATTTTGACAGAGAAACAAGTTGAGACTTCCGACTTCGTTTCAACGACTTCCGACTAAGTACTTCCGACTTAGTACTTCACTTCCGACCCGACTAAGTACTTCACTTCCGACCCGACAAAGTACTTCACTTCCGACCCGACAAAGTACTTCACTTCCGACCCGGCTAAGTACTTCACTTCCGACCCGACTAAGTACTTCACTTCCGACCCGACTAAGTACTTCACTTCCGACCCGACTAAGTACTTCACTTCCGACCCGACTAAGTACTTCCGACTAAGTACTTCCGACTAAGTACTTCCGACTAAGTACTAAGTACTTCCGACTAAGTACTTCCGACTAAGTACTTCCGACTAAGTACTTCCGACTAAGTACTTCCGGCTTCCCACTTCGTTTTTACGACTTCCCACTTCGTTTTTACGACTTCCCACTTCGTTTTTACGACTTCACACTTCGTTTTTAACGACTTCACACTTCGTTTTTACAACTTCACAATTTTTTTATTATTTTTTTATTATTCACTGTCGGAAATAAACGGAGGCCCACACATGACATGCGGACAAAAATGTATAATTTTCCACAACTTAATTGGTTCCCTCGTTTTAGTAAATTCTAGCCACTTTGCATTAATTTGTTCCCTCGTTTTGACTAAACTAAAACAAGGGAACAAATTACGACATGGCAATGATTTGTCTAAAACAAGGGAATGAATTAATAAAAGTAGAATGACTAAATTTGTGGCCACGATATATTAGGGCTGGGCAGTATATCGAGTTTGTACAATATATCGATATATTTTTCTTAAACAATATGGAATGAGGCAATACTGTTTATATCGATACAGTAGTTTGATACGAGCACATCTGGAAAAAAGCGGGGTGACGCAGTGTGAGCTGCTGCAATGAAAGTACATAATACGATGTGTTCTAAACATGAGCACAATAGAATAGTAGAGCAATAATTCTGACTAAAATATACATATTGCGAAAATATTTGTTGTTGGAGACAATAAATGTGCCATATGTGGAATTTTCAATCTACAAGTATATTTTTATGAAAGTGACCATTATAATGGGGTAATCAAATGCAGGCTAATATAATTAGTTTTGTGCTTTTGTTTTTGTTTTTATTTTCATTTTTAGTTTAGCCTTCAGTCAATTTAAAAACAAAAGCATTATTTTTGTTTTTAGATTGTAATGTTACAAAGTTAGAATGTAATGTGATTTTAACCACCTTTTAGCACATAATATATTGCATAGCTTACATTACATTCACTATATTTGTTTCCATATCCTTCAATATCAACATTGTATGTAGGATATCATTGGGCAGGATACAGATTTTCTTTATCCAAATAGAAAAACGTAGAAAGTACCGAGATATATATAGTATATCGCCAATTAACCAAACAATATACGGAGGTATGATTTTTTGGCCATATCGTCCAGCCATACTATATACATGTATATTTTTTCCCTTATGTGTGGGGCTCTGTAGAAACAAGCTTCCATAAGAAATGATCAAACTCAGTGGTAGTAATTCAAAGTATTACTTGGAGCGTCTGGTGCACCATGAGTCCTCCAAGATGAAATAGTCCACCTGCAGCTTTAATAAGTTTCGCTTTACTTCCTCAGCTGGCTTTCGGCTGTACATGGAGTACACCATCTTTGTTCTTTCTCTGAATAATGACAAGATGAAATCAAACACTTTACACAGACAGAACAATATCATAAGAATGTAATAATAGGACAAGTACTTAAATAGAGTGACAAAATGTATGTTAAATCATGTCTACCTTAATCCCGCATCTTCATAGTGTGGGTGATTTACTATGGCTCTGCCTGTGGACAGTTTCACACTTGCCATGGTGGGCATAGCACCAGCAAACACAGCATCTACAGGAATATTGCATGGATGCAGGAGTCAGAAATTGGTCATTAAATGAGTGGTTTCATTTTGCACAGTTAAACGTGAATCCAAAAGACAGGAGTTTCTCACTAGGGCTTGTGTTGTCCTTGATCCACTCCAGGAGCTCTTCTTGAGGGAAGTTACTGAATTCTCCTATGATGCCCCATTGATTCTGCAGGTTGGCGAATCCTTGAACTGCCATGATGGACAATATTCCCACGACTGTCATCTGAAGTTTAAACTTCTCTCCTACCCAGCCAAACAGCTGCAGATGAAGAGCCAAATAAACCAAAACATTAGTGAGTCCAACCGCATCTTAGATTTGAAAGCTTTTGCCCAAATCAGCTTTTTTGCATTCTGAATATTTTGGAGTGCGTTGGTGAAGAAAAGAAAGTTTCTAATTGAGCGTGGTCAGGTCACCTGTCTGGAGCAGATTAAACAGGACATGATGCACATATGAGGAGTGAGGAAGAGCTTCAGTCTCATGATGAGCACAGCCAGCACTGCAAACGCCACCAGCTGCAGACTGTGGTACACCAGCTAGAAAAACAATGGACAATCATGACAAAAGAAATACAGCCTCTGGATATCAACTAGTACTCCATGAGTCACTATATATTATTGCACATATTTTTTGTATATCATTTGGGTAATAAAAAAAATAAAAAAGCTATCTTACCACTCCTTTCGCCAACACCTGGGCCCTGCAAGAGAGAGAAGAAAAAATATTGAAGGGAAAAGTCCATTGTAAAACATGTTTGAAAGAAAAAAATTTTTACGGTGAGGTGACATTAACGACATTTATAATGTTACAAAAGATTTCTATTTAAAATAAATGCTGTTCTTTATAACTTACTATTCATCAAATAATCCTAATAAACTATCAAAGTTTCCACAAAAATATTGAGCAGCACAACTGTTTTCAACATGGTTAATAAAAATAAATGTTTGTTGAACATCAAATCAGTCTTATGTAATAATTCAGCTTTGCCATAACAAAAATAAATTATATCTTATGATAGAAAATAGTTGTTGTAGACTGCAATATTTCACAATATTACGGTTTTACTGTTTTGTTTTTATCAGATTAATGCAGCATTGGTGAGCATAAATAACTTTTTTTCAAAACATTTGTACCCCAACATTTGTATGTTTAAATTACTAGTGCAATGCCCGTGCAAAATCAGTTTTTGTGTTTTATTTTAAACAAATTAAACAGTGTAGCTGACTTAAGATTCAGTTAGATCACTACTTTCTCAAAAAGAATCGCTACTTTTTCATAGTTCTATACATAGTTTTAAAACTATATATAGTTACATTGTAATAAACGTATAATTACATTGTAATAAATGTATAAGACTAACAAATGTATAATTACATTTTTTACACTTCTTTTTTCAAAAAGAATCGCTACTTTTTCATATACAGTTTTTCATAGTTCTATACAGTTTTTCATAGTTCTATACATAGTTTTTAAACTATGTATAGTTACATTGTAATACAAGTATAATTACATTGTAATACACGTATAATTACATTGTAATAAACATATAATTACATTGTAATAAATGTAAAATAAGACTAATGTATAATTACATTTTTTACGCTACTTTCAAAAAGAATAATGTAACAAATGTATAATAATAATGTAACAAATGTATAATAACACTGTAATAAATGTATAATTACATTGTAATAAACGTATAATAACAATGTAATGTATAATTACATTGTAATAAACATATAACTACATTGTAATAAATGTAAATTCACACTAATAAATATATAATTACATTGTAATATACGTATAATTACATTGTAATAAATGTGTAATATATTTATTTTTTATATATTAATTATACATTTGTAAACAATGTATAATTACATTGTAATAAACGTATTTGAAACGTAACCTTGAAAAAAATCGCTACATTTCTCGAAAAAAATCGCTACTTTTTTAGTAGTAGTAGTAGTAGTAGGCCTCCTTCGGTCGTTTGTCGACCATGGGTATTGCGCCCTAAGAGTTCGTAGTGTTGCGACTAAAACAGCATCGTCGGTGGCTGGTGAGTCCAATGCGGGAATGACAGTCTCTGCTGCACAAAGTGCAGATGTAATTGGTCGTGGCTTGATGTCCGTGTGTGCGTGTCTTCCGACTAGTTCTTCTCTCCTCTGCTAGCTTCAAGGTCTTCTCCTCGCCTGTATTTAGCTGTTTCTTGAGCATACAGCGCCAGCTGCTGCGGTTAGCTGCAATGTCCTCCCAGATATCTGTATTGATGTCCAAGGCTTTCATGTCTCGCTTGCGGACATCTTTGTATCTCAACTGGGGGCGACCTTTGGGTCTTTTGCTGTATGCGAGTTCACCATAGAGGAAATCCTTGGGGATCCGGCCATCTTCCATACGGCGCATGTGGCCAAGCCAGCGCAGTCTGCGTTGTCTGAGCAGCGTGTACATGGTGGGGAGGCCGGCACGGGCGAGCACCTGGGCGTTGGGCACTTTGTCTTTCCAGCTGATACCAAGGATGCGGCGAAGACATCGCATGTGGTAGCTGTTCAGCTTTTGCTCTTGCTTGGCATATGTTGTCCAGGATTCACTCCCGTACAGGAGGGTGCTGACTATGCAGGCTTTGTACACTGCCATCTTGGTTTGGGTGGTCAGCTTGGGGTTTTCCCAGACGCGAGTGGTCAGTCGTCCTAGAGTTGTTGTAGCCTTGCCGATGCGTTTGTTGATTTCGGCATCTAAGGACAAGTTGTCGCTGATGGTGGAACCCAGGTAGGTGAACTGGTGGACCACTTCAAGTTCGTAATTGTCGATGGACTCGTAACCCCGAGTCCCAATGTGGCTTTCGAGCAGATCGTTCTACAGTGGACATGATCTTCTCCCTTCGCCAACTACAGGAGAAGTGTAGGGAACAGCAGAAGCCCTTTTACGTCGCCTTCATAGACCTGACCAAGGCTTTCGACCTAGTTAGCCGGGATGGGCTCTTCAACATCCTCCTGAAGATTGGATGCCCCCCGAAGCTTCATAGCATGATCAGATCTTTTCATGACGGTATGAGGGCAACCATCCAGTACGATGGCAGCATGTCTGAACCATTTGACATCAAAAGCGGCGTGAAGCAAGGTTGTGTCCTTGCCCCAACCCTCTTCGGAATCCTCTTCTCCCTTCTCCTAAAACATGCTTTTGGGAATTCAACCGAAGGGGTGTACATGCACACAAGATCAGACGGCAGACTCTACAACATCGCAAGACTCAGAGCAAAAACCAAGGTGCGTGAGATCATCATTAGAGACATGCTCTTTGCCGATGACGCAGCAGTCAGCTCTCACACTGAACAAGATCTACAGTGTCTGATGGACAGATTCTCCAGGGCCTGTAAAGACTTCGGTTTAACTATCAACCTGAAGAAGACGAATGTGCTGGGCCAAGATGTGGACACACCACCTATCATTACCGCTACTTTTTTACTTAATGTTTAGCTGACAGAAGGTTTATTTTTCTATTTTTAGAACCACAATTTTTAAACCACAACTCTCTCTAATGTCAGAATGTTTATTTTTAAACCACAACTTCAATGTGTGCTTCTTTTACAGATATATTTAACGATTTATTTTGCATTTCTAATCCAAACAACGTCAAACTCGGCACTGCACTTACTCGTGCCCGTAGCAAGACACTTGTCAAGTTTGAAATCCATCGGACTAACGGTTCGAGAGATATTTGATTAACAGACAGCCAGACACACAGACAGACAGATGTTCCTGTAATTTATAGATAGATTTTTATTCAGGATCTCTGTGTGGAGCTCACTGGCTGTTGTCAGACTCCGTGCGCATACAAAAATCTCACTGGATTATTACAATTAATTGCAAAAGGAAAGTTTGGAAATGTAAACTGATATTTCCTACTGACACACTACAGCAAAAGATATAAATAACTGGCGTAAGATACTAATGTGACTAAGACTTTTACACAGTAATATATGTATATACACACACACAGATAGAATAATATAATTTCTTTCCCCCTTTTCTATCATATTTCCCCCCATTTTTTCTGTTCACCATTTATGTCCAAACCAATCATGCCAATAAAGTACTGTAGAATGCATAGAATACTAGAATACAATACAAAACATCGAATACTTACTGCTCTGTTTCATCATCCTCTGACTTTTCTGCCTTCTCATTTTTGAGGAAATTAATAACATCCAGCACAGTCTGTCCTCAGGAAGCAAAATAAGGAAGCATATGCAGGGAGTATTAGTAACTAAATAACTTGGTTCCCCTCTATAAAAGGCTAAACTCTAAACTAACTGATAAACTCAAAAAACTGACAGAAAACTGTAAACTTAGAAGGATACTGGGGCAAACAGATAAAAGCAGGGGACACATAACAAAACTTAGGAGAGGGAAACCATCAATTATCTAAGAGAAATCAACTCACCCTTCCAGCAATAAAACCCACTATCAGCATGTTAACTGGAAGCAGCATGGTTTTGATGTACCGGATGAGAGTCTGAAAACACATGAAATGAGCTTGTGAAAAACAACTTGATTGCAAGAAAATAGATTGTTCTGATCACGTCGCCCACCTCTGCTTCAATGAAGTCAAACTCAGCTGCACACGTGTACATCATCGTGTCAAAGTCTTTGTAGCTTGTGAACTTGGATTTGATAAGGCTGCTGATGTGGGCCTGTAAAAAAAAAAAAAAAAAAAAGAAAGTCAAAAGCCCTGAGAACTGTTTAAAGAACCCCTCAGGCTAAAACTAACTGATGTTCACAGCAGGAGAAAACAGCATATGGTTCACAGCACTGCTCTCATTTGACTCACATCATCTGATGCCCCAAAGATCACAGAAAGCATGAATTTCAGGATGACAGTGGAGACCACCCATGCAAGACACTGCATGACCTAATAAAAACAACACAATTGTTTTTGGTAACTTTCATTGTTCACATTTTTATTGATGCATCAGCATACACTGGATGTGCTCTTACCCATGTGAAGATTCCCGGTTTGAACGTACCAATCAAACGGTCCCTCAGTGCAATAACCCCCTGAAACGAAAGAAGACCAACCAGTAAAGCTGATGTTTCTTCCATAGACTCTAAAAAAATATGGACGTAGTGTCCGTGAGGTTTCTGAAAAGCATTTTTGAAGTCTAAAGTGGGCATAGCCACCCGAAAAAAGCACAAAGATGGCAATACACCTATAAAAAAATAAAATTAAAAAATAAAATTAAAAAAATAGATCACCCCCCTCACAGTTGTCATGAAGGGCAAAATGATCTATATAGACCACTTTTTGCACCAGGCTGTAAACATGGGGGGGTGGGGGGTATATATGGGATAGACTCTCTTTTGCAGCCTCTCTCTAACGGCCAGTGGATGAATTGCAGTTTAAATCTCTTCTGTGTTGGTTTCAAGAGAGAGACAGGAAGGTTGCCGCTTGGTTTCTTCACAGGATGTTTGTGTTTGAGGTCATCGTGTTTGTGTTTGAGGACATTGGTTCTCACACATCAAATGAATGTGCTTGAGCTTCCGTTTACCACAAATGATGTGTGAGGTGATGAATGTTTATATGTGAATAAAAGCCTAAATTCAATCTGTTCATCATAGTAAGCGATTGCGTCTCTTCAGAAAATGTGGACTAAACCACTTTATATGGATTAGTTTTACAACCTCTTTATGAACTTTTTGAAGCATCAAAGTGGTAGTTGTGTAGCTGTCAATGGAGGGACAGAAATCGCTCCAATTTCATTAAAAAGATCTTTATTTGTGTTCCGAAGATGAACGAAAGTCTTGTGGGTTTGGATTGGAACGAAATGAGGGTGAGTAAATGACAGAATTTTCATTTTTGGGTGAAACTAACCCTTTAATCATGGATATTTATTCAGTCAGGCTATGGCACTATTTGCCAAGCATGTTCTCTGGAAGACAACATTCATATCAGCAATCATTTCACAATCATATCAGCTGCTGGTGTCCTTAGAAACCATCTATCCAGAGCAAGTAGCAAATGGATGAGAATACAGTAATGAGACCTCACACCTGTCCAACTCACCCAGATAGAAACCAGTGAAGAGGCGTAGAAGGACGTCAGCAGCATCGAGTTCCCGAACATTAGCAGAAAACAGACGGCCAAGGAGATCTGTGAGGAGTCAGTTCATCAGTGAATCACAAAGACAACATGAGCAATATTGTGGCTCCATCAATCAAGTCTAGATTACTTTACCATGTGTGTCACTAAGATGGACTGCATTTTCGTCGGACTCAGATATCCCAGGATATATGAGGCAAAAAGGGATGCAACCTGTGAAACACAAAAACATCCTTGTCATAGCATCCTTTGCTATCTTGCTGCAAAACAATTTTCTCATAAAGGTTTCAATTTAAAACGCGATATTCCTGAGGCATGCAATCATGTGACTCATCTACAGTCAGTTTGCTTCAGGCAAAAATACAAATTAGTCTGACTCTGGAAGTGAACTGTATACATTTCTTTTAGGAAACATACATTCCCCGTTCAAAAAGTTGGGATAAAGAAGGTATTTCTTTTGAAAGAAAGAAATTAATACTTTTATTCAGCAAGAATTCATTAAATTGATCAAATGTAAAAACATTTATAATGTTGCTAAAAAGCTTTGCCATCAGAGGAACAAATTACATTTTAAAACATTTAAATAGAAAATAGTTCGCAATATTGGTGTTTTTACTATGTTTGATCAAACTAAAAACATTTTTTTTTTTAAAAACCTTTAAAAAGGTAGTGTACTGTATGTCTATTATATCAGGAACACTTTATTAAAAGTCAGATGTAATCGTGTTCAATTTCAGCGGGACATTCAAGGATGAAAGGTTGCAGAAACTAAATGTTACATTTGGCTGCTTGCCTGTACAAATATCAACATTAAGACACTAAGCATTTAGTTTGGCATTCTTACGATCTAGTCATTTCTTCAATCACTTACCTGGGTAAGTAAGACAAATTGAGCAAACTGCCACGGCAGCATGAAGAAAACATTGGAGATTCCCAGAGCCATCATTGTATGCTTGCTTGGGTTCCTTGTCCTTCCAAAAATCCAATAAGAATAGATCTTAATTGTATAGAATAATTAAAATCTGTACTTATAATGATAAATCAAGTACATATCAACACAAACGCAGTATTAAATTACATGAGATTTAAGTAAAAGTAGATGGGTTAGAGGAAAAACACACAAAGATTGCTTAAATGTCTTAGGTGACTATATAAAATCGAAAAGATCTTAAGCCATCTCAAAGTACAAATATAAAGAGTGAACGTGAGCATGAAAGTTTTAATATGAAGTAGGAATACATAGGAAGAAAGCAAGTTACCGGAGGATGCATGTGAGCAGAAGCATCTGCAGAACCAGGAAGGGGTAAGAGAAGCTCTCTCTCAGAGGTGGCGTCCACATGACCCGAGTGCTCTGGGATTCAAGGGTTCAAAACAGAGATGAGAGCTCTAAATACTAGGAGACTGTACATTGTGAAATAAAACACTATCCACACATGCTTAAGAAAACACAAACATCAGCTTTACCTCTCCATGGTTAAAGAAGAAACACAGAACCGTAACAGTGCCACCCAGTCGACTGCCACTATAAGAACAGCCAAAATAGAAAGTGCATATTTTGATTTAGTTTTTGAAACTACACAGTTCGGATCAACCATTTGGAATCATAACTGAACTTCTTAAAGATCCACTTTCTTCTGTATAGATTGAAGGACCTCTGACTGAGGTGTTTAACCTGGGTCATCTAGGCTCCATTACCTTAGATATGTTCCATAAATAAAGAACAGACTCATCATCGCCCCATTTAACAGGAACACAAAGGTGACATAGAAGTATGCAGGGTCTCCCAGACCTGTGGAAAAGCCACTCAAGTAAGTAAAATATCTGCAAAATGAAGAACACAGTCAGTCACAGTCAATAAAATGGCACCTTACGCCTTCACTTTTTCATGCACATCAAAAAACACTAAATAAAACTTTAAAATAAACATCTTTGTGATGAGTGTGTTACCAGAAGTAAAAGTTGCAAAAAATTAGCAAATGCAAAAATAGACTTAAGACATTTCTAAAGCGTGCATTTTAATTGTAACTACAATCAAGGAAACTTTTCAAGGACAGTAAGACAAATTAGAAGGTGATTGTAATATTAAATAAAGTTATCCCATTTCATGATGTTATTTACAATGTACTCTACTTCAAAAGCTCAAATACTTAACAACAAGTAGATGTTTGGGTCAAACAAGGCTTCTCAAATACCTTCACAACTCTCCACTGGATCCATACCCTCTCCTCTGTTGATGGTCCAACACATCTTGGTAGGGAACCCAAAGAAATCCATTGTGCTGGTGAATGCTCTGTACCAGCTGGCCAAGACCACCTGCAGTACAAGAGAAAGTTCATTTCAAAGCTCAAGCAAAAACTGTGGCATGAAGACATTTCATTGACATTCAGAAGATGGCATTCATCTTACCTCAGGGTACAAGTTGAACCTCTTTAGAGTGTTTATCACCAGAGGGTATTCAGTGAGCCGGTCATTCATGATCATGTAAAGACCATCCATGAAGGAAGTAGCCTCAATGATGGTCTTGAAATATGAGTAATACAGTCCCTATAAAGGTGAAAAGTGTAAGGTATACACACACACAGACACTGAGGTTGAACAATGAAACTGAAACACTGGCCAATATAGCGTTGGGGGTTTCATGCCTATATATGCGAAGCCTGGTGGCCAACCTTTACTGATATTACACATTGGTCCATGTCTCTGTGGCTCAACTGTGACTGGGACAGCAAGTCTTTGTGGTGTATCGAGAGCTATGGTTTCCAGGGTAACGTCAGCATGCCTCCATGAAGGACCACATCCAACAGGAGTAACTACTGTTGACGCAAGAGGAAGCTGTCTGAAAGAGATGTCCAGGTACTAACCCAGATTGTATCCAAAAAACATAAAACCACAGCTGCCCAGCTCACTGCAGAATTAAACGCGCAACTCGACTCTCCTGTTTCTACGAAAACGGTTTGTCTGTAGCTCCAACTGAGTCAATATTCATGGTCGGGCTGCTATAGCCAAACATTTGATCACTCGTGCGTGCCAATGCCAATGTCAGGTTCAATGGTGTCACCAGTGCAAATCTTGGGCTATGGACAATGTAAAACATGTATTGTTCTATGATGAGTCCACCTTCACCGTCTTTCCAACATCCATGGGAGTAATGGTGTGGAGAAGCCCCAAATAGGCTTAACACCCGGACTATTGCTGCCCAGATTAAAGCACGGCGGTGGATCAGTGTGTGGTGCTTTGGGCTGCAATATCATGGCATTCTCTCCTGAGCTTAACAGGCACGTCACTGCCAAGGACAACTGAACCATTCTAGAGGACTGTGTGCACCTAACGGTTCAAATATTGTACCCTGAAGGGGGTGCCGGGCATCAGCATAATAATGCACCAATACACACAGCAAGACTTGTGACAGAATGGTTTGATAAACATGATAGTGAAGTTTTAATGCCACAGTCATCAGATCTAAATATTTGAGCTACTTTGGGGTATTTTGGAGGAGCAAGTCAGAAAACGTTTTCCTCCACCAGCATCACAGTGGCCTGGCCGCTGTTCTGGAAGAAGAATGGCTCAAAATCCCTCTGACCACTGTACAAATTTTTTATTTGTCATTTCCAAGATGAATTGATGCTGTAACCCTTGCCCATACTAATAAATTATTGTGGTCTGCCAGGTGTTTCAGATTCATTGTCAAACCACTGTATATAAAACATACATACATACATGAACACACATATGTGAATTCAACAAATAAGTAATAACCATCTCCGTTCGAAAAGCCATCTCCTTTTCCAAGGACGACATGTGTGAAAAGTGTCTGTCATTTTCAAATAGATGTGAGAGATGATACCTGAGAAAAACAGGGCAATTTATTTATTTAGTCTTAAGAGGAACATTATTATCAGTTTTAAAAGTCTAAAGTTACTTACCAGTGTAAAAATGCCGCAATAACAGCTGTGGAAAGAAATATATCAGGTTAGGCGACTTTGCCCAGGTCAGAGAGACAGCTACGTGGCCACATTCATTGGAGGACTCTTATCTTAACCAACCAAACTCTAGTCTCTAGTAGATGACGTATAAAAATGGCCTAGTTTAATACAGATTATTATCAATTATTTGAATTAATTAACATCGGTATTAAAACTCTGGGTGGTTGTCATGAACAAATCTCAGGAATTGTCAGTAAGTTACATGTGTGGTCATCATTGGCTAACTGAAGTGAAATTAAATGTGATTGGTTGCCAAGTACAGTTAACATGTGGACATTCACAAATAACCCAGATTTTAAACTGGTAATTTATTGTTGTTTAAGAATAAAAGCTCAATATAACTTTGTTGTTTAACAGCCGAGCTGCTTGATCCTGAGAACATGCTAGATGCTAATCTGAATAACCGTTAGCTACCTAGCGGCTAAGAAACAAAGCCTTACCGAGAACCAGCACAGTTATGCCTCTTGCAAAAGCAGATGGGCTCAACCCCAATTTGTTTCTAATGAACCCAGCAAAAAGTCCGTTTTTACTCTGGTAAGCAGAGCCTTTCCCATCTTTCACACGCCTGCTTTTCCCCGAGACGGACTGACTCCTGTCCTTCTCGCTGCTCTGGTCCTTGGCATTTGGTTTTCTCGTTTTAGCTACCATGTTTTCATACTTCTGTCCGTAATAGAGGTACAACAGGAGCGTAGATACGCGATAAAATCAGTTGTTTCACTCTTCCAAACGCCTCACATCTGTGTCTCTGAACAGTTTGAGAGCTCTGGGACTTCAGTGATCTGTTGAATGAAGCGGGCATCGCCCCCGTCTGGAAGCAGCGCTCATCTGTCAGCGTCACTTACCATGGCAACGCGATTAAATAACCTGTGGGTAGCCATGATGATGGTAAAGAACCTCGGCAACCAGCGTAAAACCAATCGGTAACTAATAACCATCACGATGAAGCATTTAAATAAAATGCATATACTGGTATATAACATAGCCTTTAAATTACATGTAGCCGAGCGGTTTTCATTCTTGTGCAAGAGACCTCAATCATAAAATTTAAAAGGCACAGGCAGACATATTTTTTCGTGTATTAAGACCCCATTTGTTGGCTACTGTGTATAAATATGTGTTAAAGTATTTGGAAAATATTTAGTTTCTATTACGTTGCATTACTCATACTGTGCCGTCATATTTATTATTAATTGATTTAATTGATTGATCTATTTATAGCCTACGTCTTTTCATTCATTCGTTCATTTATTAATTTAATTTAATTCGTGTGGAAAAACCCTGGCACAAGGAATCATAAGGAATCTAACGTTCATTCATTAGAGTTCATTGACACTTCCACTTACAAATCTTTTAGTATTTTTGAATATATATATATTTCGGAAATATTCTTGTTAATTAATTGACTTCAGCAGTCTGTTGCCAAATTATAGGCCTAATATCATTCGAGGAGACAGATGGGCTATAATAAATAATCAGAATAAAATTAAAACTGATTAGATAGATTAGAAATTTGATTAGAAGATAGAGAGATAGATAGAGAGAGATAGATAGATAGATTCCTGTTTTTGAATTTCTAAAAAGAACCGGCTCATAAGAGTCATTTGTTCTTGAATCGGAATACACTGCTCTGATGAAATCAACCGCTTGATGTCGCTGTGATACAGCAAATCGATCCAGAGGCACCAAAAATGATGGGACAATTAAAACCCCTCACATTTCAAATGTATGAATGCTGTTGCATTGCATAACCAAACATTTATTTAGAAGAAAATAACACAAGTCATTTTACAAAAATAAATTGGGATTTGAATAATCAAACAACAGATATATGTTAAAGGCCTATAGACTATAGGCTTAAGCCTTGCATGTGAAACAGGGCAGTAGAGTCTTCAGGCATTCATTTATAGTTTGGCTGCAGTTATTGCATTTGTAAAAATGGCTTAGAATAGTAGGTATGTAGGCTGTGTTTAGTTCTAAATGTGTAGAGTCATTTGTTTACATTGGTTTAATATTTTATTTAGGCTAGCAATAAAAGTCATCCATTTTTAAGTGTGGCTTATGTCCTAACACTTTTTGTGAAACATTTATGTGAGTTCACACTCACAGTGTAACCTTTTGATGGTACCACAAAAAGTTGAATAACAGTTCTTGAAGTGGGCAAGGAGCTGATGGAACTAAAGCAACAGGAATCGGTTTAGTTTGGAACATGCTGAGAATTATGGCTGGACTCCTTTTTGATGGTGACATCACAAAGGTTTCTCTTCCTTTTGACTTAGGCCTTGGGATCAGAAAAAGCTTACTTTCACTGGAAAACATGCATGAGAACCTAATGGATACAGTGACTTATACAGTTTGTCTGGTTCCCAGAAAGAAATAACGTTGTTTTAATTCCTTGTAATAAATGATTATATTTTTTATAAATTAATATATTGTAATAAATGATTATATTGAACATATTATTAATGATTAGGGAAACATAAAGATGCCCCCCTTAAGAACAATGTGCATCTACTTTTAAATTTGTAACATATTTAGATACAAGTTTAGCATGTGCTAGATGATGATGCATCAGTCAATGTGTTATTATAGAAAATAAATAGAAACATTTGCTAGTTTAGAGTATAAAACAAAATGTAAAATTATTCAAAGAGGTACATTTTTACAGAATGTATAAATGACTTTTGATATAATTTTTTATTGTTATGTATATATTTTTAAAGTGACATTAATAAACAATACTAAATCAACTATTCTATTTAAATGTTCATTTTGACAATTTAGTTGGATAAATGAATAACCAATGATAGACAAAGCAGAATCACAGTAAAAGAGATTCATCTGAAAGTTAAAAATTATTCTGTGACTTATAGGCATATACATATTTAAATATTTAATTTCCAATATTTTAATTGAAGAAATGTCATAATAGCATCACTATGAATGCAAATTTAATTTCACTCAACAAACCTATAGATTTTAATGAATGCGAATGTCTGAAATGTACATATAATTCATGGAAATACTGAATAATAACCCCATTAATTTTAAATTAAATAATATTAAATAAAAATAATAACAACAACACAATTAACAACATGCCACTCTGGGCCTTCTGAGACAATTCTGGGGGGATCATCTTACCCCAAGGGTCTAATTTTATATTTCTTCTTCAAAATTAGAAACTATAACTTTTACTCCACAAATACACAACAAATAGACACAAAAAAATTAGAATCAACATAATAGAGACACAAGATTAGATCAATTAACCTCAAAACTGTTTCGCCTGACTAAATCTCACAAAAGTTGATATTCGTATATATGTATATTATTAATAACAAATTATTATTTTAACAATTATTCATAATAAATTATTTCCTGTTGACAGTCAATGCAAACAGCAATTTTTAATTATTTATCTTATATTTTTTATTACAAATTCTTGGCTTGAGTTGTTTACCTGGTTTAAATGCTTTAGCTTTTTATCTCACATAAGCTAGATGACGACGATGATGATGATGATTAGTTTGAGCCTAGTCTAATCCCATAATAATGCATGAGCTGGTACAAGACAGTCCTGCAACATCCATCATCTAGAAACGGTGTCCATACAATGCCGGTCTCAGGTGCCAAGCGATGAATTGTTTTCTGCCGTTGTTCTGATCTCACCATGACCTTTCATGGCCTCTGAGTGAATCACTGGTGCTAGACATAACCTAAATACAATAACGAGACTCGGTGCCCATCTTGAAAGTTATGGTTAGGGGTGCCACTGAAAATGTCTGTGGTGTTAGCACAGCTTGTGGCCACACTGAGGGAATTTGTTTTTTCAGCAAACATAGCTGAGATCTGGCCCGTTCGGAGGGTGAGGGCGTAGGTTCTGCTGTTAGCTGATGACACCTCCTGTCCAGGCGCTCGGCTTGCCAGGACACTTGGCCCATCATGAAAGCCAACAAGCAGATGCAGCTGCGTCATCATTTAACGCATGTTGGGTGGGAGGATGTCTATTCAAATTTTTTTGTCCTGTTTGAGTTATGCACTAACATTCTGCATTTGTTGCCCTGAAGAGGTGATAACACCACATTTGAGTTCAATCCGATCGTAAAATGTAGTATTATCAAAAGGACATTCAAGCCACCCACTGACCACATGTATGAACGGCCTGGCTGGCTGAAGTGTGAATCAGGGATCATTGTTTATGTAAAGGGTTTTCTGTGCCCTCAATGTTCCCCAAAACTCAAATATCTCACAGATGGGCTAAAGGCGTGCCAGTATAATCATGGGACAGTGAACATTGGCATTGAGCTCTTTTTCTCTCTCCCTCAATCTCTCTCGCTGCACTAAGTTTCTAAGTATGCGAGTGTCAAAACAGTTTAATGCATGAGTTCAATCAAATTCGAGTAATAAAAACTAAATAACACCAATTCAATTTTGTGAATTATATAGTCCTGGCCACTTTATTAGGCACACCTTGCTAGTACCAGTTTAGACCCCCTTTTGCCTTCAGAACTGCCTTAATTCTTTATGACAAATTCAACGAGGTGCTGGAAACATTTCTCAGAGATTTTGGTCCACATGGTCATGATAGCATCACACAGTTGCTGCAGATTTTTCGGCTGCACATCCACGATGCGAATCTCCTGTTCCACCACATCCCAAAGCTGCTCCATTAGATTGAGATCTGGTGACTGTGGAGGCCATTTTAGTTTAGAGAACTCATTGTCATGTTCAAGAAACCAGTTTGATATGATTTAAGCTTTGTGACATGGCGTGTTATCCTGCTGGAAGTAGTCATCAGAAGACGGGTCCACTGTGGTCATAAAGCGATGCATCGTTTAAACACCACAGCCTACCTGAGTATTGTTGCTGACCATCAGCAACAATACTCAGGTAGGCTGTGGTGTTTAAACGATGCTCAGTTGGTACAAGAGGTCCAACGTGTGGCAAGAAAGTATCCCAGACACCATTACACCACCAGCAGCCTGAACTGTTGATGAAAGCAGGATAGATCCATGCTTTCAAGTTTTTTACATCAAATTCAGACCCTAAAATCTGAATGTCGCAGCAGAAATCGAGACTCATCAGACCAGACAATGTTTTTCCAATCTTCTATTGTCTGATTTTGGTGAGCCCGTGTGAATTGCTTCAGTTTCCTGTTATTAGCTGACAGGAGTGGCACCGGTGTGTGTCTTCTGCTGCTGTAGCTCTTCTGCTTCAAGGTTCAACATGTTGTGTGTTCAGACTCAGAGATGCTCTTCTGCTTCAAGGTTCGACATGTTGTGTGTTCAGAGATGCTCTTCTGCTTCAAGGTTCAACATGTTGTGTGTTCAGAGATGCTTTTCTGCTTCAAGGTTCAACATGTTGTGTGTTCAGAGATGCTTTTCTGCTTCAAGGTTCAACATGTTGTGTGTTCAGAGATGCTCTTCTGCTTCAAGGTTCAACATGTTGTGTGTTCAGAGATGCTCTTCTGCTTCAAGGTTCAACATGTTGTGTGTTCAGAGATGCTCTTCTGCCTGTTTAAGGTTCAACATGTTGTGTGTTCAGAGATGCACTTCTGCTTCAAGGTTCAACATGTTGTGTGTTCAGAGATGCACTTCTGCTTCAAGGTTCAACATGTTGTGTGTTCAGAGATGCTCTTCTGCTTCAAGGTTCGACATGTTGTGTGTTCAGAGATGCACTTCTGCTTCAAGGTTCAACATGTTGTGTGTTCAGAGATGCTCTTCTGCTTCAAGGTTCAACATGTTGTGTGTTCAGAGATGCACTTCTGCTTCAAGGTTCAACATGTTGTGTGTTCAG